ATCTCTGGTGCTCCAGACACCTCTGGGATTTAAGCTGCACCCACAGGCTGGATATTGCAGGCTTGCTCCGGCAGGCTGACTGCTGGCCCTGACAGCGTGCAGAGTTCATTTATAAGGAAACAGAAAGGAAGCAGGACAAGACAGAAAAACCCTTCTGCTTTTACCTGTGAATATAAAAACTCTTTGGATGCTCCACTACACTCTAGAGCCCAGGAGACAGCCGTAATGCTAACAGAGTCTGCTGTAGGACAGCATCCTTGGGAGAGTCAAAATGAACCCCTTTTCCATGAATTTGGACTTGGGCAACTCTGTGGACAGTCCCCACAGACCTGCGCAGCACAAAGCACGCCTAGCAGAGACCCTGCTCTTTCATCTCACTAGTGCATCATTAAAACTTGAAACCCTAGACACGCAGGACTTTGCAAATGAAACACACAAAGCCCTGCATTTGCAGGAATCTGCCCCTCTAAGGGAACCCTCCTGCTGTAAAGATTAGTGGAAGCTGTGCCTGGGCTCAGTCGGTGCCTAATTCCAAGCGCAAACAGGGCACCTGGGTGAGGAGGGTGCTGCAGGGATGGGGGCTGCAGTCACCCTGGGGCTCATTTTATGCTGTGAATGCTGAGCAGCATGGGGGGAGGCAGGCAGCAGTGTCCCTGGGTGCTCCACGCCCCAGGGTCACTCCTGTCCTTTGCCATCACCGCTGGGAAGCCACAGCCCATACACTGTAAGAAACTCCCCATCTTGTCTCATGCTGCCCCACTGCCTCTCCAGGGCTGGCTCCCGCCCTGCGATGGATCTGCTCAGCCCCAGCCCAGCCCAGCCCAGCCACTGTGCAAGGCCTGGTGCGTTTGCATGGGTTTCGCTCCTTGTTACGCATCTGGAGAAATGGGGACAACTCCTGCCAGCTTTTCTGAGTATCATCAGAAAATCATGTGTATCCTTGTGCTGTTTGCCCCAGTAAAGTATCAGGCACGGTGCTGAGATTAGCCCAAAACATGTAAATGCATTAAAAATAGTGCCTCAGCCCCAGGCTTGCTTGCTCCTTCTCGCACTGGCTCTCTTTCCTTGCTGGGCATCAAAGCACCCTCCAGTCTTGTGGAGCATTTGAGTCCTCCTCAGCCCTGCTGGGATAAGAAAAGAAACAAAGATACTTGGAAGAGGTAGGAATGTCACATGTGGGGCATCCCAAATCTTCTCTTGAGGTCCAGCTGCTCCACCATTTCCTTACAAAGGTCCTCTTGGACATGAAACCACAGTGTCCTCCTTGGACATCTTTATCCCAGTAAAACCTGTGACCTTGCTGGGACGCATCCTGGCAAATGGTAATCCCTGTCCTGGAGGACACCAACTGCTCCTGGCACTGTAGCATGAGCTGGTGTCTTTTGAGAGGGGAGACCCTGGATCTTCAGCGAGCTGATCCAGCAGGACCTCAACAGTAGTTTAAGTGTGTCTGGGGATTTCAGACCCCATGTTTAATGCAAAACCTCTGTGCAATGCAAATGTCTCTCTGATGTGTACAGTGGTGAGCACAGAACACCCCTGGCCTTCCCTTCCCTCACCAGATGGGCACAGAGTTAAGTTGGAGGCAGGTTCCACACAAATGAGATGTGAAGCATCTTTCCACAGCCAGTGTTAATCTGTGGAGCTCTCTGCCACAGGACACTGCAAATACTAGAGGTCTGTGTGGGCTCAGAAAGGAATCAGTCAAATTAACAGCAGCAAAATCCATCAGGTGACGTAGAAGGAGCCACAAAGCTGTGGAGGTACAAAAGATGTTCCTGGGAGCGTGTCTGGGAGTTCACCATTTCCATATAGTCTTTGCAAGACACATGGCATCAGCTACCACTCAAGACAAACCTTGGGTTCAGTCAGAGCCACAGAGCCATTCTCGAAGCTTCAAGACACAGCTGGGAGCACCCATGCCTGCTGTGAGCTGAGGAAGAGGCCGTCCCCACAGCAGCACCCAAAGGCGATGCCTCCCCGAGAAACGGGAGTGAAATTCAAGCAGCCGAGCGATGTAGCCTGTGGCTGAGTAGCAGAAACCAGCACAGCGCGACCCCAACGTCCGCTGCCCCGAGCCACACGCTGGCACTGGAGAAGATAGGAAGGAACTGGAATCGCGTTCCACACACCCGGGTTGCTTTCGGCACACACAGGCAGATAAAGAAGGGCCCACGTGTCCTCTGCAGTATAAAAATGCCACTATCAGTAAAACAGAAACAGCGTTTCCTTTCCCTCTACCCTTTGCCTGTCTTATCAGGGCGGTGGGGAGTCTCTTGGTTTGCTGTGGGTTTGCAGGGTGGGAAGGGACGTCTTATCAGGGCGGTGGGGAGTCTCTTGGTTTGCAGGGTGGGAAGGGACACCTGCTCCCAAATTGGGGCTGTTTCCACAGAAAGGCAGGAGGGAAACGAGAAATTCCTTCCTGTCAGGAGCCCTGGAAGCAGCGCTGGGTCCTGGCCAGCATCCACCCTCCTCACCCACATCCCTGCTCCCTTTGGTCTCCCCAAAGGTCACCCTCCATTAGTCACTGCAGCTTTTTGTTTAGGAAATACCAGCTGGGATGTCCTGTCCCGTATGAGCAGGACTGACCATGGCCTCTGCCAAACAACTACAATAGACCTTTCCCTGCAGGCCTCCAGGCCCGGCAAGTCTCCAAGAAATCTCTGGAGGAAAAGACAGGCTCCAAGTGCCCGAGGCCAGGTGGCCCGTGTGCACTCAGCATCCCTCCTTCACCCTTCCCTGCAGTTCTTCCCCGGGAAAAGGGGCATTGCACAATGGGGAGATGCATGCGATGAGGCAAAACTGCCTCTAACGCTTCTGTGTTTTGAGGGTATCTGGATGCATCACGGTAACGTCTTAAAGCACGGGGCCGGAAAAAGCATTGCTTCTGCCCCTGCAGTCAGGCGCCTTCCCTGAGGACTCCCGCACCCTGCTGGCTGCACAGCACTGTGGCAGGGGACAAACCAAGCCTGGTGTGCAGCGGCAGGGGACAGGTCCCGCTGCGGCTAAAGGGCAACGGAGCAGCTCATCCCTAGGATGCATCGGGAGGACGAGGCCTGATGCAACCCAAAGCAGACAGCAAAAGTCCCCCGTGGCCTCTTCCGTCCCCAGCTCTGCGAGCAAGCTCCCCGTTGGCCACAGACACTACGCTCCAAGGACTCAAAACGGCTCCGCCTGTAAAATGAGGGTGATTTCAAGCCCACCCTTCAGCTGTGCCTGCAACACCTGAGGCGGACTTTCCTACTTCAGAGCAAATAGTTATTTTATTATTATTGCTCTTGGAGTATTTCTGCTTCTGTAAGCCCTGAAAATTCAGCCACCACCCAGGCCAGGAGGTCTTAGGTGGGGCCACCATTACACAGCTAATGTAAAAGAAATTGGCTTAGTGTGGATTCCGGAGGCTTGTCAAAAAAAAAGCACATTGAGAGAATTTCCCCGTTCTGCGGCAGCTCCCACTTCCTGCTGCACAGGAAACCCCAGCAGACAGCGAGTAAAAATCAGACGAGACTGACACAACTGGAGCAACGATAAGAAATTTGGTTCCGATCCATGCTGTGGAGAAATGCATTAAAATGCCAGCTTAAAGAAGCCAGAAGACTGAACGTTTGCCAAGAGGATAAAAATAAGCTAGAGGGCTATATTTAAAGGCACATACTACTAGATGCCTCTGTCTTTGATTAAATAAACTGCAACTGCCAGAAAAACCCTCTTTTCCAGCAGTTTGGGGGGAGCTCTGGCAGTAGGAGAATAAACATCAAGTCCAAAACTTTCAACAAATTTTAAAACAACTACCTTGTGGCTGGAGCTGTGCCAGAGCCTGTGCCGTCCCTCCAACAGCAGCAGCAAACTGGGGCTTGTTGGACTGGAGCAGAAAGGATTTCCGTTCCATCGTGCCGTATGGGCCAGACGCTGCTGTTGTGCGTCCCCACATGGCTGCAGAAGCACCTTTACTTCAGCGACTGACTTCATTTGCTTGTTTACATTCATTCCTTAGAAATAAGTCATGTAAATGGGGACTAGAAGTTCCTGCTATGTGGCGGCAGAAGCATTTACCGTAGTGCGCTGCCAGCTGCCAGGAGCGAGCCAGGGCAGAGGGGCCCTCCCAATGCCCTCAGACAGAGCATCTTAGCCACTCCAGCTGAACCGTACAGAGTGACAATTACTTTATCCCTGCACGATAACAACTCCAGCAGGCTTACGAAGAAAGCGCTTGCAAAGGGAAAACTGTGCAAGACCCTTGGGTGAAAGGAGCTGTGCCAGAGCTCGCTCAACAGCACCGTTTAACTTCACGAGCAACCCCTGTTAAAACAACATCACAAGAACACAGTGTATAAACAGAGCTCAGCCATGAATTGTGGAAGGGCTATCTGGTCTGGTTAAACAAAGCATTATTTTAATTTCAAGATTTTATAAATATGTATTTACAAAAGGAAGTTATCAATCCAAAGAGTTAAACAAATGTACAGCTCCCACGTATTGCTACAGGGAGAGAAATCATGTTAATGCAATCCCACCATTTACAATACCCATTATTCACAAAGAAACCACATTCTTAATTTAAAATACCTCATCCGAAGGTTACAATATCCGTCGCTGCAAAAGCACAATCTGCCTTCAACAGAATTACATGACAAGAAGGAACTGACCCCTTTCATACAGCTTTTCACACAAAACACACCACTTTTGGCCATCCAGGTGAACACTGCCAGACAACATTTCATGATCCTACAAAAGGTTTTTCTTCCAGCCCACAGACTCCTTGGGGACCATGGCTTAAGGACGCGCTGCAAGAAATTGGCTTAGTGTGGATTCCGGAGGCTTGTCAAAAAAAAAGCACATTGAGAGAATTTCCCCATTCTGCGGCAGCTCCCACTTCCTGCTGCACAGGAAACCCCAGCAGACAGCGAGGAAAAATCAGACGAGACTGACACAACTGGAGCAACGATAAGAAATTTGGTTCCGATCCATGCTGTGGAGAAATGCATTAAAATGCCAGCTTAAAGAAGCCAGAAGACTGAACGTTTGCCAAGAGGATAAAAATAAGCTAGAGGGCTATATTTAAAGGCACATACTACTAAATGCTTCTGTCTTTGATTAAATAAACTGCAACTGCCAGAAAAACCCTCTTTTCCAGCAGTTTGGGGGGAGCTCTGGCAGTAGGAGAATAAACATCAAGTCCAAAACTTTCAACAAATTTTAAAACAACTACCTTGTGGCTGGAGCTGTGCCAGAGCCTGTGCCGTCCCTCCAACAGCAGCAGCAAACTGGGGCTTGTTGGACTGGAGCAGAAAGGATTTCCGTTCCATCGTGCCGTATGGGCCAGACGCTGCTGTTGTGCGTCCCCACATGGCTGCAGAAGCACCTTTACTTCAGCGACTGACTTCATTTGCTTGTTTACATTCATTCCTTAGAAATAAGTCATGTAAATGGGGACTAGAAGTTCCTGCTATGTGGCGGCAGAAGCATTTACCGTAGTGCGCTGCCAGCTGCCAGGAGCGAGCCAGGGCAGAGGGGCCCTCCCAATGCCCTCAGACAGAGCATCTTAGCCACTCCAGCTGAACCGTACAGAGTGACAATTACTTTATCTCTGCACGATAACAACTCCAGCAGGCTTACGAAGAAAGCGCTTGCAAAGGGAAAACTGTCCAAGACCCTTGGGTGAAAGGAGCTGTGCCAGAGCTCGCTCAACAGCACCGTTTAACTTCACGAGCAACCCCTGTTAAAACGACATCACAAGAACACAGTGTATAAACAGAGCTCAGCCATGAATTGTGGAAGGGCTATCTGGTCTGGTTAAACAAAGCATTATTTTAATTTCAAGATTTTATAAATATGTATTTACAAAAGGAAGTTATCAATCCAAAGAGTTAAACAAATGTACAGCTCCCACGTATTGCTACAGGGAGAGAAATCATGTTAATGCAATCCCACCATTTACAATACCCATTATTCACAAAGAAACCACATTCTTAATTTAAAATACCTCATCCGAAGGTTACAATATCCGTCGCTGCAAAAGCACAATCTGCCTTCAACAGAATTACATGACAAGAAGGAACTGACCCCTTTCATACAGCTTTTCACACAAAACACACCACTTTTGGCCATCCAGGTGAACACTGCCAGACAACATTTCACGATCCTACAAAAGGTTTTTCTTCCAGCCCACAGACTCCTTGGGGACCATGGCTTAAGGACGCGCTGCATGGATTCAAGAAACGTAAACCCCTGTCAGTCCCATTCCCTGCGACCCTGTGCCAAGGGGCTGGTAAGGAAACTGCAGACCACATTGCCCTACACCCTCCTGGCCAAGGAAAAGACCTGCGGCACCAAACTTGTGCTACTGCGCGGCGCCAAGACGACGCCAGATGGCATCACTTGAACAGCATTTGTCAGGAAACGATGGCTCTCAGATTTCCTCTGTCTCTGAAATTGTACCTGCAACCTTCCTCGTGAACTGGTTTTACGCTTGCTACATTCTCCATACGGACACGGGCCTTCAGGTAGAAGAGGGACTTCCCATAAATCCAGGGGTTTAAGATGTTACTGAGACCTCCGAGAATGCTTCAGATAAATAAAAGACCAGAGCTGCTCAGAAGTCACTTTCTACAGCTTCCATGAGACTTCAACAATCTTCCCACTAAGCCAATAGCAACATTTCCTTTAGGTGTCCTTCACTGCAACCACCTCAGCGCTGTTCAAATCACAGAATGAGAGAGATGCGGAGCCAAAAGAGCACTACCTAAACTTCGTAACAGAAGCAGCAATGACCTCCAAGAACAAAACGCAGCAACATCCACAACTGAAATTATCTGAGGCACCAACTGCTGGGGGAGCCGGGGGAGTTCTTGGATAACAGAAGGCTCGGCTTGTGCATGGTTTATCTGAAGAAGAATGTCCAGCAATTTCCTCTTAACTCGTCCAGTAGTTCTAAGCCTTTATGAGAGCCACCTAGGATATTTTTTAATTTCAAGTTTAGGCAAATTAATTCTAATCAATCAAACTAAAGAAAGGACTTAACCAAACTGCTAGTAGGAAATCAAATATAAGTTGCTAGGAGTGTTAACCTGAAGTCTTGCACAATTTATTTACTTCTTTTAATTCACACCTCAACAGCTCACATATGCAGCTTCCAAATCTCATGGTCACAGCAACATTCTCTGTTGTTCACTACTGTGAATCCGGTCTGGCTTGAGGCTCCCACCATACTCAGGATGCAGTTTGATCCTCTTTAGCCACAGTCTGCTGAAGGCAAAAAAGAAAAAAAGAAAGAAAGGAGCACAGGAGAGCTATGTGACTCACTGCCATGATTCTGGGGCACAACATGCATTTCTGCCAGAGACTGAGACTGGTCTGGGCCTTTGGTGAACTACTGCAGCGGTAAAAGCATTCAGAAGCAAATCGAGCTACAGAAGGGGACGATCCCAGCACAGATTGCCAAGAAAGGTTTATCAGTGTTCCAGCTTCTGATCACACTAATGACAGTAATTCCAGCCAACATTTGTGAACCCACGGCTGCCAAACTACCTGTCCCCAGTGTCACCTGCGTAATACAGCCAGCCACGGTCAAGAAACCCAGTAAAAGCAGGAGTGAAATGACAGCCTAGAAGTGGAACAGGGGACGGTTGTGCCTACTGCTGCAGGGACCCATGGAAGGAAGAAAACCCAGCGCTGGGGCAGAAAAGGACCTGTTGAGAAGAGCTGGTTGGAAGCAAGAAAGAATATAAAAGGCAGCAGCAGCCCTTTCGGCGAAGAGCTATGCACACTGCAGCTGTGCACTGCAGCACAAGGACCAATGCAACCTTGCTCCAGATGCATGGTTCTCTGGCTAGCACAACCTGAAGAGGAAGCAGTGCGATGAAAGGAGTAATTTAGCCAAACGTCCTCCAAGAGCAGCATAGTTTATCAAACACTGCTTCACTCTGTGACCACTTTCACTGTGTTCCTTATTTCCAGATTCCAGTAACTTCTATGGCACTTGTCCACGGCACCAGCAAATATTATGAGGTCATGGGACACTGCAAATGGCACTTGATGCCAATAATTAGCAAGTTACTCTGTGACTTAACTAAGGGGGCTCAAAATCACAAGGAGGTAAGGTGTAAAGGGTCCCACTGCGGAACTAACTCTAAACAACAACCTCTTCAGTCTGTCCTTTCGTGCCTAGGCAGGAAGTGAGTTTATGGACAGAAAGAAATATGACCAGAGGGTTTCCAAAACCCTGGAAATCTTACCTGCCGTAAGAACTGCTTTCCAAGATAGTTGGTCGCCATGCTTGTCAAGTTCTTTCTACTGCCAACTTTACACCTGATATAACCATAAAGGTTGGCTCCCTGAAGCACCACTCCCATCACAACCACTGCCTAAGACACAAGAAAATAAGGTCACTAATTTACACCACCTCACTGGCAACATGCAAGATCCATTCCTGAGTTGAGGGAGTCAACTCACCAGCCATTTCACTTTGAAAGAAAAGAGAGCGCTGAAAGCAAATATCACCCAGATCATAGGACAGGTGATTAGACCTAACCAGAAAATGCGGGACTCTGCTTCTGATGAGGTTTTACTCCCTTGTGCTGACACCTAGAAACAGAAAGGAAATGGAAGTTAACAGGCTGCTCCATTGCACGGATCCCATAGTCAATAAAACCAGTCCAGAATCTACAAGCCCGTTTTTTGCCTCCACACAACAGTACTGGGTGCTTTCAAGACCAATTTCTACATCACATAAAGATCTTTCTGCAACAGAAGATGTTTCCATTTAAGGGACCCTTTTATCAATTCTCTATCACAATCAGTAGAGGTAGCAGCATCAAATCCTCTTGGAATGCTTGGGGCTAAAAGGTTAAGTTTGGGAAACATGACATTTACTGCATGGTTTGGTTACAAAGCTTAGAAACAGCCAAACGGGCAACACTTTCTACCTCCAAATCACTGCACAGACAACCAGCATTTCACTAATCCTAGCATTGGGAGAACTAAATATTGATACTCTTAGGCATCAAAGTAGGGTAATTTTTTTCCTTACGCACACAGAGGTCTGATTCACACCACACAATCGATTTTATAAAGTCTTTCAGAGCAGAAGATCCCAAGCAAGCACTCACTTCTTTCTATAGTAGTTAAAAAATCTGGACTGGGTTAACAACTTATGGGTAAATTTACAGCATTGCCAGCAGCTCAGCTACCTTTCCCCCCCACCCCAGTATGTTCTAGCTTTTCTAAACTAGCATGGTTTTGAGAAAGAATGTGCCTGGGGTGAGTGGACAAACTCAGCTGGAGAAAGGTTTAGGTTCAAGTCCCTACACCACTGCAGGCCTCCCGCGTGATCCAGGAAACCACCTTCACCTCACTCCAGATCTGTACACCATTGGCTCCACACAACTGGAGGTTTGACAGGGGTTTGAAAGCGTAAATACGTGACGAGTTGTGGGGTGCCTGACATATGGGCTACTAGAGAGGCAGCAGTAGCCATCATCAACACAAAGGCAAAGCAATAGCTGTGACAAATGCTATAGGTTTTTTCCTACTTCCAATAGTTTTCTCTACGAGCTAAAAGCTACATCAGCTGTTCCATGTTCATACCAGAAAGCTTGTAGGTTACTGACATGACATGGGAACATTGACTGCATTTTATGTGGAACTTTTAGGTTACTTACATTAAGCCAGATCAATACATCATGAGAATGTTTAAATAATTCGACAATCAAAAAGCCCATTGAGCAGCCTACGTGTAAAAAGCCCATGGTTACAGATCTGTGGCTGGAAATAAATGTCTATGTTGTGCAATCTACCATCACAAGCATAACTGCCAATTAATAGGGGTTTCATAAAACACAAACAATTAAAAGAAAAAAATTAAGTAAATTTACCTTCCTGGCTTCAAATATCCAGTGACTTCTACCATCATCATCCACCTGGTTCCACCAGCGAAGGCCAACCATCAGCCGCCCAGTAACATTCTGAAACAGAAGAAAAGCAATGAACTTTATAGCTTCTGCTGAAAGAAACCATTTGCCAAAGTTCAGCTGTTTGGGTTGCTATTTTCAACGATGCTCACTCGCCTCACGTTTGGGAAAGCAAGATTACATGGCTCGTAAGTCCCCAACAATCTGTTTTCTGAGATGTCCAGTGCAATAACAAATTACTGTAATAATAAGAGAGGCGTATTTCTGGTGATTTGAAAGTGATCTGATAACGAAGCCCGTGCTCCCTTAGAAGAAAGCCTAACATATGTTTTCCATTTGCTTTCAAAAAGTCAGGTACACAGAGATTTAAGCGTTATTATTTCATTAACACTTTGCAATACATCACAGTATTTGAGGGTACCTTGGGTATCATTTTGTTGGAAAGTGTCCTGGTTTTGGCCAGGATAGAGTTAATTTTCTTCCTAGTAGCTGTCACAGTGCTGTGTCTTGGATTCAGTAGGAGAAGAATGTTGATAACTCACTGATGGTTTTAGTTGTTGCTAAGTACTGCTTAGACTACTCAAGGACTTTTTCAGCTTCCCCTGCTCGGTCAAGTGCACAAGAAGCTGGGAGGGGGCACAGCCAGGACAGCTGACCCCAACTGACCAAAGAGCTATTCCATATCATATGACACCACGCTCGGGTGGAGTTAGTTGATTGGGGGGTGAGTGATCGCAGCTCAGGACAGGCTGGGTGTTGGTCAGCGGGTGGTGAGCGACTGCATTGTGCATCACTTGTTTTGTATATTCTGTATATTCCCTTACCATTATCATTATTATTATTGTTATTCTTTTCTCTTATTAAACTGGCTCTATCTCAACCCACAGGTCTTACTTTCCCCCTCCCCCCATTCTCTTCCCCCTCCCACTGGGGCGGGGGGGCGAAGGAGTGAGCGAGCGGCTCCATGGTTCTTAGTTGCCAGCTGGGTTAAACCACGACAGAAAGGCACAAAGAAGTTACTTTTTTTTGTGACATGACTATCACGATCTTCAATTACTTTTACATAGTAAGACAAAAATAACAGAAAGCGTAAGAGGAACTTACCTTTACAGCCCAAAAGTCACACGACAAGAGGAGGATAATTGTCACCATGCAGGCAATAAAGCTGCTAGTTAAGAGCTCACAGAGCAGATAGACAACTATCGCACTGACTCGGAAGAATAAGTGGAAAAATGATGCCACTGGATGCCTGGAATGAAGTACAGTACAGTCACAGCTCTTTCAGACGAGACGGAAGCAATTTCAGAGAAATGACATTGCCACAACAATCTCCCGCCAGCTCATGGGATAAGGATCAACACAATAACATAAACCCAGCATGCAACAACTGCTGAAAATATGGGAAATAAACTGACCAGAAGCTCATCCTAAGGAAGACACGTCCTACACGTGGTGATATCCCACATGCAGACAGGATTTGGGGTGGAAGGGGACAGGGAGCTTTACCTAGCACTCAGTGTAAGGCAGTATTTATGGGGTAAATTTAAAAAGGGTCTGACAGAGGAAGTACCTCTGACGGAAAGGTCACATTTCTCAACACCACAGACTTGCCCATCTTTCTGGTTTCTGCAGTTGCCAGGGCAGAAACTTGCCGTGCAGAGCCAGGGTCACCACAGCAGCCACGTACAGACACTGCTCCGTGGCAGGAGTTTGGGCAGAACAAGGAAGGACGCAGCTGGTCCAACTACACCAGGGCACAGCAGACAGCAGGGCAGCACCCAAAATACTCAAAAATGCAATAATGGACTGGCCCAGAACCAGCACCCAGCGCAGTGAGAACCTCCCCTTACACAGAGCCATTGTATCAGCATAGACCCCTTACACACAGAAAGACAAACATGGATTAAATGTGAGGGCACCCAGAGGTGTGAAGGCACAGAGCTACAAATTCCAGCTGAGCTTCTGGAACTGGCACTCTCGGTTATCCAGAAGTTACTCTCCATCACCTCTAACCACATAAAGAAGGTATGTGGATGTACATCAGCCCGCCCTTCCTCTGGCTTCTGCCTAGAACTCATCCAGAAATGCTTCTATACAGCCACTGACCTTATTTTTGACTTTTTTGATCTCCTGGATACATCATCATCAGCATCAAAGAGAGACACATCCTCGATGTCATCATTGCTGTCCTAAGGCAGGGAACAGACGTGAAGACTTATATCAGAAAAAAGAATGTGTTTTCAACTTCAAGCATACACACTTTGACTACCCAGAATATTATGATGGCACTTAAGATCAAAATGAAGTTCGAAAGAAGGTGAAGATTCAATCACATAAAAAAGAAAAGGACGTGGTAATTGGATGTTGTTCTACTAATTGGATTTGTGCTTTGCGAAGCCTACATGGGTCACAGCGTGACTCCAAGACTCCCTTCTGCACTCCAGAAGTTAGGGTCATAGAATCACAGAATCCCTTGGTTGAAAAATACCTTTAAGACCATTAAGTCCAACCGTTACCCTAACCCTGCCATCCCACCACTAAACCCTGGCCCTAAGCACCTCGTCTGCCCAGCTTTTAAATACCCCCAGGGATGGGGACTCAACCCCTTCCCTGGGCAGCCCCTTCCAGGGCTTGACAGCCCTTGTGGGGAAGGAATTTTTCCCTGTGTCCAACCTAAACCTGCTCTGGAACAACTGGAGGCCGTTCCCCGTTGTCCCATCGCCCGTTCCCTGGGAGCAGAGCCTGACCCCCTCCCAGCTCCCCCTCCTGTCAGGCAGTTGTAGGGAGCGATAAGGTCTCCCCTCAGCCTCCTCTTCTCCACGCTGAACACCCCAGCTCCCCCAAGCTGCTCCCCATCAGCCTTGGGCTCCAGACCCTTCCCCAGCTTCGTTGCTCTTTTGCTGCC